AAAAGTTTAGAAAAATTGCAGCCTGATGATGCAATACAAAAAAAAATATATATATATATATTTCTGGGGAAGGAGGTAGAAATTTAAGCCTGCTGCAGAAAGTTGCATAAGTAATGGGGAGTTGAATGTTAATCACCATGACAATGGGGAAAATATCTCTAGGGCATGTCAGAGACCTTTGTGGCAGCCCCTCCCCTCACAGGTCTGGAGATCTAGGGGGGAAAAATGGCTTTGTGGGCCAGGCCCAGGGCCGCCCTGCTCTACGCAGTCTTGGGACATGGTGCCTTGTGTCTCAGCTGCTTCAGCTCTAGCCATGTCTAAAGGAGGCCAGGTACAGCTCTGGCATTGCTTTAGAGGGTGCAAACCCCAAGCCTTGGCAGCTTACACGTGGTGTTAGGCTGACAGGTGCACAGAAGTCAGGAACTGAGCTTTTGGAACCTCCACCTAGATTTCAGAGGATATATAGAAATGCCTGGATATCCAGGCAGAAGTTTGCCCCATGGGTGGGGCCCTCATGGAGAACCTCTGCTAGGGTAGTGCAAAGGGAAAATGTGGAGTTGGAGCCCCCACACAGAGACCCCACTGGGGCACTACCTGGTGGAGCTGTGAGAAGACAGCCACCATACTCCACACCCCAGAATGGTCGATCCACCAGCAGCTTGCACCGTGTGCCTGGAAAAGCAGCAGACCCTCAATACCAGCCTGTGAAAGCACCAGAGAGTGGGACTGTAATTCTGCACAGCCACATGGGCAGAGCTGCCCAAGGCCATGGAAGCCCACCTCTTGCATCAGCGTGACCTGGATGTGCCACATGGAGTAAAAGGAGATCATTTTGGAACTTTAAGGTCTAATGATTGCCCTATTGGATTTTGGACTTGAATGGGATCTGTAGCCCCTTTGTTTTGGCCAATTTCTCCCAGTACACCCATTGTACCTAAGAAGTAACTAACTTGCTTTTGATTTTATAGACTCATAGGAAGAAGCGACTTTACTTGTCTCAGACAAGACTTTGGACTTGGGCTTTTGAGTTAATGCTGGAATTAGTTAAGATTTTGGGGGACTGTTGGAAGGACATAATTGTGTTTTGAAATGTGAGTACATGAGATTTGGGAGGGGCCAGGGGCAGAATGATATTATTTGGCTCTTTGTCCCCACCCAAATCTCAACCTTGAGTTGTAATAATACCTACATGTCATGGGTGGGACAAGGTATAGGTAATTGGATCTTGTGAGTTAATCTCACAAGATCTAATGGTTTTATAAGTGTCTGGCATTTCCCCTGCTTGCACTCATTCTCTCTCCTACCACACTGTGAAGAGGTCCCCTCCACCATGATTTTAAGTTTCCTGAGGCCTCCCCAGCCATGTTAAATTAAACCTCTTTCCTTTATAAATTACCCAGACTCAGGTATCTCTTCATAGCTGCATGGAAATAGACTAATACTTCATTCTAATGACAAAATAATAATTTTGACAGTCACTTGAATCAAAATGGAACTACACTTTAAAGGAATTTAGATCTAAGTTTCTAATAAAAAATTTTAAAGGTTAAATTTTTGCTTTAATAAAGTTGTAACTTCAGTTTTGATTCTTTATAGGATTTTACACAGTAATATTTTACTTCATTACAGTAAGACAATAGATGTAAAGCAGCTAACGTGGTAGCTACTCAAATGTTAATGTTCCTTTTCATTTCCTTTTTACTAAAATTTTTCATTATTCAAATTGTTTTCCTTTTAGAAAAGTATATACTTGAAATGCTACAGGATATGGTAATATAGACTATCTAAAAATTAAAACTTGAAATCTTTAGTTTCGTTCTTAAAACAACTCAAAAATTGAGAGAAGATATTTTTAAGAAAAGTTACCCTTCCTACATTCAAAGCTAGCAAAGATTACAGAGGAAGTAGAAACAACAGATACTTTTTGATGTGCTGCTGGATCCGGATCAAGCGGGCTTCATCCTTGGGATGCAAGGCTGGTTCAACATACACAAATCAATAAATGTAATCCAGCATATAAACAGAACCAAAGACAAAAACCACATGATTATCTCAATAGATGCAGAAAAGGCCTTTGACAAAATTCAACAGCCCTTCATGCTAAAAACGCTAAATAAATTCGGTATTGATGGACCATATCTCAAAATCATAAGAGCTATTTATGACAAACCCACAGCCAATATCATACTGAATGGGCAAAAACTGGAAAAATTCCCTTTGAAAACTGGCACAAGACAGGGATGCCCTCTCTCACCACTCCTATTCAACATAGTGTTGGAAGTTCTGGCTAGGGCAATCAGGCAAGAGAAAGAAATCAAGGGGATTCAGCTAGGAAAAGAAGAAGTCCAATTGTCCCTCTTTGCAGATGACATGATTGTATATTTAGAAAACCCCATTGTCTCAGCCCAAAATCTCCTTAAGCTGATAAGCAACTTCAGCAAAGTCCCAGGATACAAAATTAATGTGCAAAAATCACAAGCATTCTTACACACCAGTAACAGACAAACAGAGAGCCAAATCATGAATAAACTTCCATTCACAATTGCTTCAAAGAGAATGAAATACCTAGGAATCCAACTTACTAGGGATGTAAAGGACCTCTTCAAGGAGAACTCCAAACCACTGCTCAGTGAAATAAAAGAGGACACAAACAAATGGAAGAACATACCATGCTCATGGATAGGAAGAATCAATATCGTGAAAATGGCCATACTGCCCAAGGTTATTTATAGATTCAATGCCATCCCCATCAAGCTACCGATGAGTTTCTTCACAGAATTGGAAAAATACTGCTTTAAAGTTCATATGGAACCAAAAAAGAGCCCACATTTCCAAGACAATCCTAAGCCAAAAGAACAAAGCTGGAGACATCACGCTATCTGACTTCAAACTATACTACAAGGCTGCAGTAAGCAAAACAGCATGGTACTGGTACCAAAACAGAGATATAGACCAATGGAACAGAACAGAGTCCTCAGAAATAATACCACACATCTACAGCCATCTGATCTTCGATAAACCTGAGAAAAACAAGAAATGGTGAAAGGATTCCCTATTTAATAAATGGTGCTGGGAAAATTGGCTAGCCATAAGTAGAAAGCTGAAACTGGATCCTTTCCTTACTCCTTATACAAAAATTAATTCAAGATGGATTAGAGACTTAAATGTTAGACCTAATACCATAAAAACCCTAGAAGAAAACCTAGGTAATACCATTCAGGACATAGGCATAGGCAAGGACTTCATGTCTCAAACATCAAAAGCAATGGCAGCACAAGCCAGAATTGACAAATGGGATCTAATTAAACTAAAGGGCTTCTGCACAGCAAAAGAAACTACCATCAGAGTGAACAGGCAACCTACAGATTGGGAGAAAATGTTTGCAATCTACTCATCTGACAAAGGGCTAATATCCAGAACCTAGAAAGAACTCAAACAAATTTGCAAGAAAAAAACAAACAACCCCATCAAAAAGTGGGCAAAGGATATGAACAGACACTTCTCAAAAGAAGACATTCATACAGTCAACAGACACATGAAAAAATGCTCATCATCACTGGCCATCAGAGAAATGCAAATCAAAACCACAATGAGATACCATCTCACACCAGTTAGAATGGCAATCATTAAAAAGTCAGGAAACAACAGGTGCTGGAGAGGATGTGGAGAAATAGGAACACTTTTACACTGTTGGTGGGATTGTAAACTAGTTCAACCATTGTTGAAAACAGTATGGCGGTTCCTCAAGGATCTAGAACTAGAAGTACCATATGACCCAGCCATCCCATTACTGGGTATATACCCAAAGGATTATAAATCATGCTGCTATAAAGACACATGCACACATGTGTTTATTGTGGCACTATTCACAATAGCAAAGACTTGGAATCCACCCAAATGTCCATCAGTGACAGACTGGATTAAGAAAATGTGGCACATATACACCATGGAATACTATGCAGCCATAAAAAAGGATGAGTTTGTGTCCTTTGTAGGGACATGGATGCAGCTGGAAACCATCATTCTCAGCAAACTATTGCAAGATCAGAAAACCAAACACCGCATGTTCTCACTCATAGGTGGGAACTGAACAATGAGATCACTTGGACTCAGGAAGGGGAACATCATACACCAGGGCCTATCATGGGGAGCAGGGAGGGGGGAGAGATTGCATTGGGAGTTATACCTGATGTAAATGACGAGTTGATGGGTGCTGACGAGTTGATGGGTGCAGCACGCCAACATGGCACAAGTATACATATGTAACAAACCTGCACGTTATCCACATGTACCCTGGAACTTAAAGTATAAAAAAAAAAAAAAAAGGAATAGAAAGCTATCCAAAAATGTATCCTAAATAAGCTAAGCAAAAAAAAAAAAAAAAAAAAAAAAAAAAAAAAAAAAAAAAAAAAAAAGAAACAACAGATACTTTAAAATAAGTTATCAGAAGTAATTATTCTTTTATTAATCTAGTTTATTCTTCTTCAAAATAAAACTTTATAGATAAGTTTAAATGTTGGATCTACAGATCCTTCAAATGGACCATGTAAAAAGTAGTATGTATCAGTAACTTATAGATGTAGGTATTAATGTAGTTGGTCATATTTCATTTAAAATTTTTCTGGAGTCTTTTATGTAGGATCATGACTGAAGATAGATTAAATCAACAGTGGATATTAACTCAAACACACCAGTGCATAAAATAAATTTATGTGTTTTCTGATACATGATTCTATGATATGGGCCAGCATTATGAACTGTTGAGAAATGTTACATTTCTCTATGATAATGGTTTTTAAAACTTATGCATATGGCTTTGGTTAATAATGTTAAAAGATGAATATTTGGATCTGTGTTGACTATAAAGATATCTGACTTCACTATGATACAACTTTAGAACAAAAATCCTTTAAAAAATTAATCCCACTTAACCATGTTTGTTTTCATATGGATTTATAGTTTTGTTTCTTCTTTTAAAGTATTTTTATTTTAAATCTTAGCATGCACACCACAGAATCAAAAGATGAACATTTGGAGGATGAAAACTTCCAAACATCTACAACTCCTCAGGTAAAAACTTAAAAGTATATTGTAATATATGACATAAAATCAATCTGATCTTAAAATTTATTTTTAAAGTTTACTTATTAGATAGATTTCTTTTATATATCTGGTTAAAAATGAAAAGTAGTAAATTTTAAAATAGCTAGTTATAATGGGTCCTAGAAAATGAGCAGAAATAATGAAACAAATGGAAAGGGGTGCATTTTAGAGCTAAAGAGCACAGATTTTAGGAATAAGGAAAAATGTCGCTTATTATTTCTTGCCACATTCAGGGAAAACTCAGTAACTTAAATGGAGGCAAAGACAAGTCTAGATTAATTAAAATGTTGTGCTGTGTATTCTGAAGAGACTCAAGTTTTTCATTTTTATATTTATATAGAGTAAGTCATTAGACCTTCTGTTGATCTGGTTTTACTTAGTAATAATTGCTTATAATTAGAATTGTAAATTTCATATTTTTTAAAAATACAGATTTCGATAGTTCTTAATGGTCAAAAAGTCGTTTTTAAAAATATTTTAAATATTCACCATTTATTCTAAGTATGAGGAAGTCATCTTAGTCTATATCAGTTTATTACTAATTCTAAAGCAATGAAACTTAAAATAATATGGTTTTACTATATATGACCTTTCACTCACCTTAATAAAAATTCACCATTGTGTCTTTATGTGGTAACAGAATTTTCAGAAACAGCCTCTATACCAGAACTCCAATAGGTTAATTATGATCAGATTTGAATAACTTTAATCTTAAAGAGCTACATAATTCATTTTTAGCCATCAGCTGCTTTGACATCTCTGTCTCCTTAGTGATTACATGTAAAATTCCCTTCCTCAATGTGTCCATGCCCTCTAGCCTTTTTATTGTTTCCTGTGATGATGTGATGTTCCCTCTTTCACTCACTCAAAGTATTATCAAGTCACTCAAATTGCTGGCACACACATACCCACACCCACCCACCCATGACAATCATAAGGCAAATTTGGGAGATTTCTATTGCAGAGTTAACTCTACTCTAGTGTTTTATTGTTTATGGTTTGTTTTTTACGTTGGAAGAAGTTTCTCAATATTCTCACAAACCAAAGATTCCTGTTTTTTCCAAATCAGCAGTTTCATAATTAGGTTACCATTAAAAGACCTGGGAGATTAAGGTATACCCTTGCACTATTTAATATGTTATCTATAAATATTAGTGGAAGCATGCCTGAATTTCTGAAAGCTTGACCTATGTTTTTCTCATTTTTCTTTCAGTTATATAAATTTATCAAATGAGATGAAGCCAAGCAAAATTATATTTCACCTCCTTTCTAATTGAGTTGTATTTTCATTTCACAAAAGTTTTGGTGAATAATCTTTGGGATGTGTATAGAGGATGGAAAAACTGTAGGCACCTTTATTCAGTATACACAAATGATTGAAAATGATGGGGACACAAGTCTATAAAAGGTTAAATCAAGGTACCCTGCAAAATACACTGCTGTTACATCCCCAAACAGCTACTGATATGGAGCATGAATCTTCTTTTCTATCTGTGATTCCTCGCATTGACAGTGATAATATAAATTTAATTCCAAACTTTGGTAGTTTAGTACATTCATAAAATTATACAAAAAGTATAGCTCCTTAAAGATTTTCTTGTTTTACTACAGAGTCTCATTGATCCTAACAGTACTGCACATGAAGAAACTAAAATTGTCCTATCAGATACAGAAGAAATAAAACCACAGACAAAAAAGAAGACATACATTTCTTGTCCTCTAAGAGGAGCATTGAATGTAATTATTACAAATGGTATGTGAAACAAGAAAATGTAAATGAAAAGAAAATGATAAATATGTTTGATAAATATTAAAACACGAGATAACAAAGACACTACTTAATAGATGTACTCTAGATGAGATGATCAGCTCTATTACAAGCAATATGTGAACAAAGAGGAAATATTTTCTTGAATCTTTCAAAGACAAAAACAAACACGGAATATTGCCTAGGAAGTGTATGTTTTAATATTTGTCATACTTTTTTATGTTAAATTTTTGGGATTAGAAACATCATTGATTAAAGGGTTTTATTTAAAACCTACTTTGACATTTACTTTTAAGTTAGCTAGAAGGAACATTATAATTTTGGAAATATTATGTTTTTTATTAAAATTGGGCCCTAAGTTTTAAAACAACTGCAACCTCGTAAAAAGTTGTATGATACTTGCTTTCCCACTACAATTTTAAAGTATATTGTTGTTGTCAGCAAATACTTACAAAGAGATATTCTTGTGGGTTTTTTTTCTAAATATTCTGTTTGATTAAACCTATGAGAGAAAGATATTTTGGCTTCAAGAAGTATACAGAATTTTGTTCTCTATAGAGAACAAAAAATTGATTAAAAATGATGAAGCACAAGTAATTGAAGTTTTAAACTTTTATTTTCTTGTTTGCTGATTGCTAACTTTAAACTTTTGAAGCAAATTTTATTCATTGATTTTTTTCATTAGTAAAGGTTGCTTTTTAATTTATATCAATATATTGATGGCCTTGAATCAAAGTTTCTGTGAACTTGAATAGTCCTCATCGCCAGTGTAAGTGATTGAACTCCTTTGTAAATACACATGTTCCCATGACCTGGTCTATTTAGTAGACAATTTCTACACAGCAGTTACTAGGAGTAGGGCCAGGGCCTGTGGAAGAGAGGGAAATGTATTAGTTACCAAACATTATTCACTGATTGTGGATTACAGTTTGCTCAGGAGCTAATAGAGGAGTTCTAGAACATCAGAACTGAAACTTTAGGTTTAAATATAACTCATTTCCCCCTTTGTTTTCTTTCATTTTTGATTTTGCGGTTTTGGAGACATTTATAGGAAAAGGAGATTTTCTTAGTTTCTATTTGGGGGTGCATATTCTTGCACTCTCTTTTTTGAAATCAGTCTCTCTGTCTCTCTCTCTCTCTCAACCCACTCCCTACATTCACACTGTATCTTTTATGCACAAAGTATAGAATCTCAACCTCCGGGTATGCTTAGAACATGTCACTGCTAGGAATCCCACTCTGCCGCATCATGGAATAAGTAATGTACAACCATGTGTAAGTAGAATGAAACAACAAAATAATTTCTTAAAACTGCATAGAGTTTGGATAATAAAAGGAAATAGAACAACATGTTTTTCTGTAAATAATAGTTAATTCACCAATACCACAATGCATACAAGTTAAATTTAAATAAGAAATCTAAACTCTCAAATGCACAGAGAAATCAGTCTAATCACATTGAATCATACTGTTTACATACCTTATTTGGAGAATGGCTTGCTTCATCCCAAATAAATGGATAGTCTAGGACAGAAGATTTAGAGCTTAAGTTATTATTCCTTTTTGTTTCTTTTCAACCTACTGTTAACAAAAATGCTAATATATTTTATGAAGCTTTTTTTTCTTTAAATAAATTAAAGTTTTCTTATATGTCCAACTATGATATTTAAGTAATCTTGGGGACAGAACTTCCCCATTAAAATTTTATTATCAGTTTTATGAAATTAGCAGTCTTGGAAGTTTAGGGTTCAAAAATAATATCCCAGAAACTTCCAGTTTCCAGTTCTACATGTAAGGAGATTAGAAGTCATCACTGTGTCCTAAAAACAAATAAAAAGCTGAAGAAACTGAAAAATGAACAACTCTTCTTAAATCCATCAGAGAAGTGAGTCACAGGGCAAACTGCTGCCCAAAAAATAAGAGTGATTAGACTGACAGATTCAGAGAATCATAACTTACAGGAATGAAAACCTCTTTGGGAACCAGGATCAGGGTACAAAAACCTGAATTGTGATTAAAAACTTGGCTGACGCTCTGTGTGGAAAAGTCAAGAGTTAAAAACTCCAGGAGGGCCCCAGTATGGGATGGGAGAGGCCCACACTTTTTTAAGTTTTACCTTCTGCAACCAACCAGCAGGGGGAGAGGGAAAGTATCAAGGAAGAGAGAGGGTAACCATTGTGAAATATACCACAAGAAGCATTCTGTTCTTCTTACAAAGTCTGCCCCCCGCATGCCCCCCCAAAAAAAGGCTGGGTGCAGTGGCTCACTCCTATAATCCCAGCACTTTGGGAGGCCGAGGTGGGCAGATCACGAGGTCAGGAGATCGAGACCATCCTGGCTAACACGGTGAAACCCTGTCTCTACTAAACATACAAAAATTAGCTGGGCATGGTGGCGGATGCCTGTAGTCCCAGCTACTAGGGAGGCTGAGACAGGAGAACAGCGTGAACCCAGGAGGAGGAGCTTGCAGTGACCACTGCACTCCAGCCTGGGCGACAGAGTGAGACTCCATCTCAAAAAAAAAAAAATTTTATCAGAGCCTGACCTATACATGTTTTTATCAGAGCCTAACCAACTTAGATCTGATGGATCTAAGAAGAGTTGTTGATTTTTCAGTTTCTTCAGCTTTTTATTTGTTTTTAGGACAGAGTGATGACTTCTAATATCCTTACATGTAGAACTGGAGAGTGGAAGTCTCTGGGATGTTATTTTTGAACTAAACTTGCAAGACTGCTAACTTCATAAAAACTGATAGTAAGATTTTAATGGATAAGTTCTGTTCCCAACTCTAGTCAGCCTCCTCTAGCCTTCCACACAGTTGAAGGGAAATATCAAACTCTAGCCCCCTCTAACCATCCTGCACCACCAACTAAGGGAGTGGAAAAAAACTGAAAAGCATTTTTGACATTCACAGCTCAGGGGCACAGGCCTACTAAAAGACTGAGATCTAGTGATAGAACTATAGAATGTCCCCTCCCCCCGCCGCAAACACACACACCTTATCACCACATTACTAAAGTCTTACTTACCACAGGTCCTTTTATTCAGTACGTCATGTTCATCTTTCAACTAAAATTTACAAGGTGTATTAAAAGGTAAAAAAACACAGTTTAAAGAAATGGAGCAAACATCAGAACCAGACTCATATATGGAAGGTATGTTGGAATTATCAGACCGTGAATTTAAAACAATTATGTTAAATATGCTAAGATCTCTAATAGAAAAAATAGAAAACATGTAAGAACAGATGAGTATTATACATAGGATAAAAATTGTAAGAAAGAAATGCCAGATATCAAAAACACTGTAACAAAAAAAGAATGCCTTTGATGGACTTATTAGTAGGCTGGACAAAACTGAGAAAGTATCTCCAGGCTTGAGAATATGCCAGTAGAAACTTCTAAAACTGAAAAAGCAAAAAGAAAAAAATACTGAACAACAATGGAACAGAATATCCAAGAATTGTGGGGTCACTACAAAAGGTGTAACATACATGAAATGGGAATACTAAAAGGAAAAGGAAGACAGAAAGGAACAGAAGACATATTTGAAGCCATCATGACTAGGAATTTCCGCAAATGAATGTCAAGCACCAAGTCACAGATTCTGGAAGCCCAGAGAAGACCAAACAGGGTAAATGTTCAAACAAACTACACCTAGGCATATCATATTCAAACTTCAGAAAAATCAAAGATAAAGAAAAAAATATTGAAAGAAGACAGAGGAAAAATGACCCATAAAGGAGCAAAGGTAAGAATTACATCCAACTTCTCATCGGAAACCATGGAAGCAAGAATAAAGTGGCATGAAATATTTAAAATGTTGAGAAAGAGAAAAAACAAAAGCAAAAAACACCAGCCTTAGAATTCTGTATCCTGTGAAACCATCCTTGAAAAGTGAAGGAGAAATAAAGACTTTCACAGATAAACAAAAATTGAAGAACTTTTGTGCCAGTTGACTTGGCTTGCAAGAGATGTTAAAAGATGGTCTTCAGAGAGAAGGAAAATGATATAGGTCAGAAACTCACATCTATTTTAAAAAGGAAGAATATTTGAAAGGAAATACACAAGGGTAAAATCTTTTTTAAATTCTTAATTTATCTAATAGATAACAATTTGTTCAAATTAATAATAGCAATAATGTATTTATGACTATAGCTTATGTGTAAAGGAAATGAATGAGAGTAATAATACAAGAAATGGGAGGGAGGAATTAGAAATATTATTATAAAGTGTTTGCTCTACATATAAAGCCATATAGTATTATTTGAAAGTGGACTTTGACTGGGCACAGTGGCTCACACCTGTAATCCCAGCACTTTGGGAGGTTGAAGTGGATGGATCACTTGAGGTCAGGAGTTCGAGACCAGCCTGGCCAACATGATGAAACCTGTCTCTATTAAAAATACAAAAAATTAGCCGGTATGGTGGCAGACACCCGTAATCCAAGCTACTCAAGAAACGGAGGCAGGAGAATCATTTGAACTCAGGAGATGGAGGTTGCCGAGATTGCACCACTGCACTCCAGCACTCCAGCCTAGGCAAAAGAAGGAAAAAAAGAAAAGAAAAGAAAGTAGATTTGTATTACTTGTAAATGTATGTTGTAAACTCTCAGGCAACCATTACAAAAATTTATAAAGAAGTATAATTGATATGCTAACAGAAAATTGAATCATATGAAATGCTCAATTCAAACCACAGAGGGCAGGAAAACAATGGAAGACAAAAGTAGCAACAAAGATTAAGGGCAATGAATAGCAAACAGGAACAAGCATGATTGATATTAACCCAAATATATCAATAATCACTTTAAATGTCAATGGTCTAAATACACTAGGTAAAATACAGAGATTGCTAGAGTGGGTCAAAAATAAGACCCAAATATGTGTTTTTTACAAGATACATATTGATTACGGAAAGAGATGGAGAATCCATTCTAACACTAATAAAAAGAAAGATAAATTAGCTATATTAATTTCAGACAGC